CACAACCGAATGACGTAGTTAGCTTATTAATTACTCGGCCTACGCGCCACGTAGGCTTGGTAATTTTTAAGGTCAACAATAATGTAACATATCAATGTACTAAAAAAAAATTATATGAACAAACCATTCGGGGTCTGGTAGGGAGTCAAAGGCGTGACATGAGCATGAGGGTCCAAAGTGGTCGGTTTTTATTATTGAGGAAGGAACATTTCTGTATGCACAAAAATACAAGTAGAAGATCCAAGAGTTGGATCGCTGTGACCTAATTTTCTTTTAAATCAAGACAAAAAAGAAAGCGAGTATAACGTGTCTTACTCTCAATTGCAAAGCCGACTCTTCTCCTATCCCATGCCATTAGGGTAATCGCCTCAAATTATAAGAGAAAGGATTTTTAATCCAACGTCTTGTGCCACAAAAATAAAACATAACAAAGTAAACGTTTTGTAATTAGTACTCAGTAGAAATTTGACATAACTAGTCGACTAGTGGTCAAAATTCTTTTTTGAGAGATTGTCATGGTACATTTTTGGTGGTTTCGTGAAGGTATTCGTCATTATAATATTTTTTTGCGGAATTATTGACTGTCATTATTAGTGTAAAATTAGCTTATCAACGGGTTGGCATTATCTTTGGTTGGAAAGTGATTTTACTAGTGCTCTTGTTTGTCTTTGTTCAAAGGATTTTTTTTCATCCTTGGCCTCTTCGCACTCAAAATTATACTTGCTTGGATTGAATTTGGGAGATGATTTTTTGGTGCTCACACCATTTATTGAAAAGGGAATGTAGTTACCAACAAATTTGATGCATGGGCTTGTCTTCTTCAACCATGGTTTGGCATGACTCCCATCTACTGGCGGTCTGTGCTTCTTTACATTCGGATTTTCTTGGTTTATTTGGTTTTCGATTTTTAGATTAATGTGCATCCCCGGTTTACAGGTTTGTCTTCCTTCATGATGTGTGTTTCTCTTCTTTTTTTCCTAACCTATTGCTTTTGGTGCTTTGCAACTTATTTTCCAGGTTTAGACCTTTTAGATTTTTCTTTAGAGGGGTTTAGGCTTTACTCCCCCCCCCTGTATTTTTTTTTCTCTTAAGAGAGGTCAAGTTTATTTCACACTCTTTTCTTATATTTTTTCACTTTACTTTTCTTCTTGTATTATTGAGGGGTAAAATTATGTCCCTCTGTGACTAGATATAACTTCTTTTTTTATGATTCAATAAAATTTCTCTTGAACCATCGATGTTTTCCTAGTAATAAAATGTTATATGTATATGTACATACTTTTTATGGCAAAACATGATTTTCTATTGATTTTGAATTTTCTCCACATAATGGGGACTTGGGGAGTATAGTTTTATTTAAAATCCCATTAATATAAGCAAATACAAATTGCAATTTTTAAGCTAAAAAATTTAATAACCAACTTGAAAACACATTATTACATTAATGTTAGAAACTTCAACCAAAAACTAAAAATCAATAAGGATTTAGTCGAAGAACATTGATAGCTAGAGACCATATCCAAAATTCATGATTAAACTAAAACTATTCATTCATTCAAAAAAAAAAAAAAACTAACACTATGTTTGGATGAAGGAAATAAACTTGGAATTTGGATAAAAGTCAGAATTTATAAATTGACATGCACCAATTCTTTTGTTTGGATTCATAAACATAGAAATTTAGAATTTCCGTGTGGAAAAAAACTTGGAATCTGGGACCTCCAATTCCCAAGTTTAAATTCCATGTAAATAGGTGTCATTTCCCAATTTCTATGATTGAAAGTTCAAAAATAACAAATTCCGTATTCAATTCCATATTCTTTTAGGTTAACCAAACAAGAAAATTCACAAATTCTAGAAAATAAAATCCCGTCATTTCAATTACTGTCATTTTAAAATTATTTAGTAATATTAAATTTCTTCATCCAAACATAGTGTAAAACTATTCATAGTAAAATGTTAGAACGTTAACATACATATGAACATTAACGTTCTAAAATGTTAGAACGTTTTATCTTTATATTCATAGTCGTTTGTTCAAATATTCTCTCTTCCAATATCACTTAGTGCTCTCAAAATTATATCTCACCTCCTAATTAAGTCACATTTCTAATTATCCAGTGGGAGACCATGGTTTTTCTTCTATTTTCCTCTCCATATATTTTGCAGGAATACCACGTTTTGGATATAAAAAAAAAAAAAAACTAATGAAAATAACTTTAAAATTTTGAATTTTAATGATAAGAACAAAATAAAGGGTAAAGTAAATAGTACCAGAATTGACTTTTTAATGTAAAAATGTGGTTTTTCGTTAAAGTAAACAGTACCGAAAGTTTTTCGTTAAAGTTCTGTATAAAGTATTGAATAAACAAAGTAATAATACCTAGTTGTATGCCGCCCTTGGTTTGGTTACGAGACTGGACGGCTGTGATTGGATGGGAGGTGGGCTACGTCGTCGTGTTTTTTATTTTTTTATAATTTTCATTTTTGTGAATAAATGATATTATCTACATTAAGGAAGAGGAAGTGAATTTTATCTCACAATAAATTAATAATAATGTGATTCAAAATCACCTTTAACAAGAATCGAACATAATATTCACAATAGACTACGTTGTGGTGTTAGCTACGAGAAATGATCATTCGAAGGAAAACCCGTCTCTCAATTCTCATCTCAGGGCCATTTGACGGTTGTCGAGCTCAGCCAAGCTTGAGAGGCCCCAGTGTCGACGCACGCGTGCCTGCCCCAATGGGTCCCCGGTTGACCCATTTTGCTTCTCAAAGGACATAGGTCATAAGCATGCTTAGCCATTTAATTAACTAATCCAAATCAAACAAGAAGTCATATCTTTAATTTACTTGTATCAATTTTTTCTGCTGGATAGTTCGATCAGATCTTGCTGTATCCTCTTTTTCTCTTTATTAGTTCTTTTAATCGATTTTTTTGTTTATTGGAGAAGATTGAATAATAGCTTAACCTAAATAAAACCAATTACATAAACTATTAACCATTTTAGTAGTCAACCGTTAATTTTTTATATTAATAGATATGAATATTAGGTAGTGTTCCATTGTATTAAGATGTACCATCAAATTTGAAAAAAAGAAAGCTGAAGAAAAATTAGGTTGCTGTCCATCATAACTAGCTAATATTATTTTGTAAAGAAAATTTGAAAACAAAAACAATGAAACTAGGTGTATATACACAAATTGGGATGACTAATACACATTTTTGTATCATTTCATTTAAGAAAACAAATTGTATTACACATGTGGACCATTGTAAGATCAGTATAATCAGTGTGTCAAAACAGATTTGCTAAAAATTCCTACCATAATTATTAAGGACAGCAGCTGCAGAAACTCATGGATCTGACCTAACACTCCTTTTGAGTTCTATGTATAATTGCAGTCAACCATTTTCTTATTATTTTTAACATACATAGTCACAAACATCTGAACGAAATGTCAAAAATTATGGGCTGTAAGATTGCGTTTGGCTTAGTTGAGAATGAAAACTCATACCTGCACGTTTGCCCTAATTGACCGCCATCAAGAATATTCATTCATTCTATATAAAATGTGGTCCTTGCTAGTCAGTTTTAGTTTAAAAGCCCAAGTGTTTCTTTCTACTTGTACTGTACATATGATGGTCAGCCACAAATTCTATGCTCTTCTTACTTGAATTTTCAAGGGGATCGAAATATCAGACTTCAATTGCGTGGAAAATTAGAGCAGCAGCTTGTCAAGTCAACCGCGCTTACTGAATTAATCACCACTCGCTGACTTTAAAGAGTAGCTAGTTAGTGTAGAGCTAGCCATCTTCTTCGGTGACTTCCCAAGTGTCTACTTGCTGGCTTAAAATTCTTACCATTTTGATCTTTGGTTAGATAAGCATGCATGATTGCTTTCTGTATATTTGGTGGTTACGTACACTTCTGATTGAACGTTGTTGGGGCTGTCTAAAACAAAGTTAAAATGACAAATTTACCAGCGAAGTTTAAGCGATAAGACTGATGATGATTTTATCTAATGATATTCAAAGCTTCAGAATAGGAAAATAGATTTGATAAAAAGGAGCCCTATTATACTGATTCCATACCATGAAAAATATGAAATGATTTTTTAAAATAAGCATATACAACGCCATTTTCTTCCACAAAGCGTTAGGCAAATATGGTGTATTGCACAAATTACAGTAGCTAGGTTTGCTTTGTCCTTCTTAGTTTTTTTCTAACTTGAATAGTTTGAGATATTCTGATGTTATTCTAAAGGCTCTTTATATATTTTGAATTTAGTTGATCAATAAGCTATTCATCATCATACATTGAGGTTGCTACTTTAAAATTGTTAAGGATCAAATAATATATGAAGACTCTGAACTGAAAAGTGAGCGTCACTCGCCCCTTGCAAACTGTCGTGGGGTTGGAAATTCAGAACATAGAAGCGTAACCTAATAACCGATAATCATTTATACGCAGCCCATCTAGTCCCCATGGGTCCTAATCTTGAAGATTTTATACTAGGACTTGCACTTTTCCATTATTATTCTAAGACCCTGATCAAATTTCAACCGTCTGATTTCAACAAAGACAATTTAAAAAGAAGTAAGTTATTCTTCCAAAACAGTGAGGTGGCGGTCAGATCAAACACCATCATCATCATCATCCCTTTATTCACAAGCATCACCATAAGAATTTTCCACACAAAAATAATATAAAGAACATAGAATATAAAATAACTATTAAAAACCGAAAAGAAAGAGATGAAGCATAAAAAATAGGTGGATAGACTATAATAAACTATAATAAATAATAATAATTTCAAAGCTAAAAGAAAACGCAAAGAAAATTCGATTCGGAATGCTCTCTCTCATTTGTCCAATCATCTCCCTTAAAAAAATGTCAACCGGATTCCCGTAAAATAAATTGCAACTACTATATCCGTACCCACCCTACGGGCTACGGCCCTAACTGTTTGATATATAGAGTTGTAAATTGCAACTTTGCAAAGCTCGCAAGACCATATTTCATATTTCCTAATTGTGCTATATATAGCTTATAGCCTCCCTCTCTCTTATATGGTGAATACTTCTACTTCGTGAGACCCAAATACAAAGAGGCAAATTAAGAGCAAGGGATATATTTATTAACGAAGGTTGAAGTATTATTACTTTTGAGCTGAATAATATTATGGCGGAGGAGTTTCAGGCCGGGATTTGTGGCGGCAACTCATGGTGGAATTCATCGAGACACGTGCTGGTGGCGTCGCCGTGTTCTATGGGTTTTAATGATCATATGGGGGGCTTCGGCTACCCCAACGACATGGTGGACATCAAGGCAACAAGGTCTTCCTGCGGTGAGATTAATAACTCGGTTTCTGATGATCATGACGATGGTGATCATAGTAAATCTATTGCTAATTTTGATCAATATCAAGATGTTCAAAAGCCTGATCATGATCCCACCTTGCAAATGCTAGGTTTTGGTCTTCCATCATCGTTATCTTCAACACACTCAGATTTTAACCAAGCTTTGCTCGTGTAAGTTCTTTTGATTCATTTGCCAGCTAATTAAATAGCTACTTCTCTAAATTAGTTGAAACCCAGGCATGAAAACCCTTGATTATATTAATCTGGAAGAAGAAGGAGCTTCAGAAGAGAGAAAGAGCAAGAAAACGAAAGCAAAAGAAGAAGATAAAAGATCTCTTTGTATTTCTTTAGTCTTAGTTGTATCATTGATTTAGAAAAAGAGACTAATTTGATATGAACTTCTTGATTGGAAAATTTGAATTCATAATACTAATTAGCTTTATCATCTTATTTATCTTGCAGTAGTCGCAGTAGTAGCGGAAGAGGTGAGAGCAATTTTCATAATCCTATGCTCCAAGAAGATATGGGTTTGAATGCCAAGTTGAACACCGCCGCCTTAGGCGATGAAGAATCGTCTTCTATCATAAATGGTTTCAAGCCCATGAATCAAGATTTCTCTTTAGACCAATTAGGTTCACCATCATCTTCTGGCTTTCCTATAAGCTCATCATCTTCAGCTGCTAATTCTTATGGCTTCTCCTCAGCCTTAATGTTGCAAACTCTATTTGATTCTGTACCAGTACCTCAAACCCAACCCCAGCAATCACTTTTCAACAACAATCACTTTTCAAATGATTTGTTCTTATCACCTTCTCCTACTAGTAATTGTTGGCCGCCGAGATACTCTCCAAACAGTTGCCTCAGACCCTCGTCGCTTCCAAAGCAGTTACAACCTGGTGGCAACGGAGGCAGCGGCTTGCAATTTTCCAATAACATTAACACTCCCTTCTGGAACGCCCCCGCTCCCGCGGCTTTAAATCCAGACAATACTGTTCGATCTAGTAATGATCTTTTTTCCTCCTCACAAGCACAGTATACAACACCTTCTCCGTCACCATTTCATGAAAAGAAACCCAATTCCAACAACTTTACCAAGGTAATTCATGAAATTTACAGTTTACCTATTCAGCATATATGACAAAAGGGTTTGAGGCTAATGATTCAGATGTTGAAATTTTAGGCCAATACTAATGAAGATGTTCAAGACTCAAGCTCATCCGTTGTAAAGAAAAGTAGCAGCAGCGCCGGTGAACCTGTATTCAAAAGAGCTCGAATTGAAACACCTTCACCCTTACCGACTTTTAAGGTACAACACACACATGTCTAATCAAGCTTTTGGCAGCAGCCATCGATTGATCAGCTAGCAAGCTTTTTCTTTCTCAAAGTGATTTTTAAAGTTTTAATTAAAGCTTGATTAATTTGTTATTGATTAGGTTCGGAAAGAGAAGCTTGGGGACCGGGTCACTGCTCTCCAGCAATTGGTTTCACCTTTCGGAAAGGTGAAGTTTTGTTGTTTTCTTCTTTATTTTTTCGAGAAAAAAAATACTTTACTAATTTGCTAAATAAAGGAATTCATCTAACTTACCTTGAATCCTTTTTGTTCTTTTCTTTTTCTTTTTCAGACTGATACAGCTTCTGTCCTCCACGAAGCTATTGAGTACATCAAATTCCTCCACGATCAAGTCAGTGTATGTTCCTTTTAGTATCTTCCTTTTTTTTAGTCTAGACTTGTTAAAATTAGGGAACCCTAGTTGCCTCTAGAAACAAAATAAATAATTGTTTAAATTGTTTTATGGTTTGTCCTTAAAAAAGAAGATAGACCTAACGAAATTCTTTATACAAGTCTGGTTTTAGTTCCGATGTAAGTTTTTTCTTCATGTAATATTTCAGGTTTTAAGTACTCCATATATGAAAAATGGAGCTCCCATGCAACAGCAACATGGTATTGATAAAATGAGGGAGGCCTCGGAAGGAGCAAAACAAGATCTACAAAGCCGAGGGCTGTGTTTGGTTCCAATTTCAAGCACATTCCCGGTTGCTAATGAGACCACCGCTGATTTTTGGACACCAACATTCGGAGCAACCTTCAGGTGATCGGCAGAGAAGAGCTGATGGAGCCAAGGCCTAAATATATATGGTGCATGCTGGGCCAACTGCTAGCTGAGGGAGCGATTAATTATTAGCTAGTGACCATTTCTTTATAATTATGTAAAACCCTAATATTATTAGGTGGGTTTGGAACAGGAACAGGTGCTAAATTTAGCGGAAGTTGACAATATTAGGGTTTAGCGATATTAAGTTGTTGACAAGAGCTGAATTTAGCAGATGGGGTGTGAAGAGCTGCCTTTTGTTCCTGTTCATGTACGTTGAGGGTTGGCACCAACACCTTTTCATTATCTCAGAGAAGAGAAAAATAAAAATTAAAGCGATCTTTATTGTAGTTAATTGATTTATATATTGTATATATTGTTGATAGTTGTAAGAACAGGAGAGAAAGATGAGTGAGTGGAGATTATATTTGGTTGGCGTTTTCACTTTTTGAATTCGTTTATTATATGTTTGGAATGTGGTAGTGGGAAGTCAGAGGTCGGCCCACTATTCCTGCTTTTAGGGTTTCTGGTGAATCTGGTCATGACTTATGAGAAAGAGAGGGCGAGAGAGACAGAAGGATGTGCATGCGCAAGTACATGTCTTTGCGCGTGTAGAACCAACAACCCTAGCATTGCTATATGTTTTATCCTTCAATATTTCTTCCTATGGAAATGGCCACGCAATTATAATTAAGATTCGCCCATTAAACATATAACAAGAACTGAAGAATCCTTATGGATAGATGGATAGGGTATTGAATTTCTAACTATGCGTCTCAGATTCGAAATTCTCTTTTTCCTATATTAATCTAATAGTCTTATACCCTAGCATTACTATATGTTTTATCCTTCATTTTCTTCCAATGGAAATGGCCACGCAAGTATAAGGTTCTTCCATTAAACATATAACAAGAACTGAAGAATCCTTATGGATAGATAGATAGGATGTTTCATACGTCCCAGGTTTGAAATTCTCTTCTCCCTATGGAAATGTAATAGTCTTAACCCTAGCATTACTAGATGTTTTATCCTTCAATTTCCTCCTATGGAAATGGCCACGCAATTATAAGGTTCGTCCATTAAACATGTAACAAGAACTAAAGAATTCTTATAGATAAGGTGTTGGATTTCTCCTTATGCGTGCCAAGTTCGAAATTTCATTCTCCCTGTATTAATGTAATAGTCTTGACTCTTAAACCTTCCCCTTCTGCTTAATAATAGTATTTTTTTTAAAAGAAGAAGAAGAAGATGTATTATAGAAAAATTACCTGAAATAATCAATTTATAAATTCTAATAATTGAAATATAAAAAAATTCATATTTGACCGATATGTTTTTAACGTTAGATAATGTTGAGAATGAATCTCATATTAAATGAATAATGAACCTTATGTGGGCTTATAATTAAGTTAGGCTATTCCTATATTGCTAATTGGTTTTATAATGGAACCTTAACTTTCTTTATAGTATCAGAGCAAGTTGTCACACGTGTGAAGTCAACGGCCACAAGTGCCCAATGTCACACAGTTCGTGTTGTCCACGTGTTAAGCTTGAAAACTCGCCACATGTGAGAGGGAGTGTTGAAAATGAATCTCACAATGATGAGAGAAGAGACATTGCATGAGCTTATGAATAAGTTGACTACTCCCCATATTGTAAATTGGTTTATGGTGGAAGCTTAATTTTTCTTCAGATATGATGTTTATGTTTAATTCATAGGTAGTGCTAGGGAGAATATCTATTTAAATCATTTTATGTAAAGCATATGACGTGGTTACTGATGATTGAGTTATTATTTAAGTGTTGATTAACGTACTTAATTCATATTGGTGACACATCACATGGTTAATTTGCAAATGTGGTTTAAAAATTATTCTACCTATCAGTACTCTTAATTCATATGTATTATATGATCTATAAGTCGTCAATATTTGATTTTGATGAGTTTAGAAATTAAAATTTATAGAATAATTATTTTAGTCAATTTCCCTATATTATATATATTTATGTTTGTGAAGAAATAAATTAAGTTATCGTAATCTGAGTCATCAATTATTTGCTTAGCAATATAAACATATGTCTGGTAAAATAACACCAAATTCGGATTCTCTTTGTGTGGATTCCAAGAATCTGTAAATCATGTATGTTCATCGTACATCGTGCAATCATAAATTATTTAAATTTTTTTATTTAATATTGAACACAAACAATACCTGACGAAAACTGATTGCACGATGTACGATAAACGAACACGATTCAAGAATTCTCAAAATCCTCACAAAGAGGATCTAGAGAGGAATCCTGTTGGGCTATCACCTGTAGTGTTGATTATCTTTTAACTTCTACGATTCCATGATCTACATAATATTATCCTTGGTGGCAACGAGCTAGAAGTCTACAACCAGCTCAGTTTAATTTAATGGATTTGGATCCTCTCTGAGGCAATTGGTCGGGATCCTCTTGATCGGTGTCTGTGGGCCGTTAGATTTTTATCAAATGGCTACAAACAGGAGGGCCCTCTAAAAGTTATAATAATTGTAGCCGTTGGATAAAAATTCAATGGCCCACAAACACCAGTTAGGAGGATCCCGACCAATTGCCTCGAAGAGGATCCAAATCCTAATTTAATGGCCGGATCCTTTTCCTAGGGATCTTAGGGATTCCGTGTTTGTGACCATTCATCGTACATCGTGCGGTCAAAAATCATTTCAAAATTAAAATTAAATATAAATAATACCTAACGAAAACTGACTACATGATGTACGATGAATGTTCATGATCGCGCGGATCATTTTCCTAATTTAATTACTCATTTTGCTTTTTTGTGTTTGTTTATAGGCTAATGCTAAAGAGATTAAATTTGAAAACAAAATTTGTAAACAAAATTATGAGTTTCCAATATGAATGAGCACGTTTATCAACATTTAAGTAATACACCAATCATCAATTTCTACGTCTTTTAGTTTCACAAATTTTGTCTATAAATTTAGTCTTCCTAACATTATCCTTATTTATATAGAATGAGGATCCTCTTTGTGAGGATCCTGGAGATCCTTCAATCACATTCGTTCATCGTACATCATGTGGTCAGTTTTCATCATATATTGTTTATATTCAATTTTAAATAAAAAATTTATAATAATTTCTGACCGCACGATATATGATAAACAGATATGATTGGAGGATTCCAGAAAGGATCCTCATTTATTTATATATTGGAACTTCAATCAAAGCATCACTGCATGGGCTGAAAGTTTTCCTCACTTTTCCCAACACGAACAGTGCAGAAGCAACACTGTATATGTATTGTTACTTTCAGAATTATGGCTCATCATTTGCAATCTAAACGAGAGAAGTGATCATATCCAAACAGAACCTAATATATACAAAACTCCTGACGAAATTATGGCCGGTAGAACTTGCATACTTGTGCTATCTAGTAAGCATAAATTATATTCATAACTCCATATATAGAGAGAGAAATGTTAAGAGACTCTCTCAAAGCATAACACTCCATAGATTTTTTGTCATCTCATGTTTTTGACATAATATTTTATAATGTTGGCATGAAAATTAACATTAAACTATAAGATGATAGAAAATCTATAGAGAGTCCCTTAACATTCCTCATCGTACATATACTTATTACTTTGAAAATCCCACAGTATATTTTGGGTGTGTATATGTTATATATTACTAGTCATTGTTTGTTGAAATTAAAGTCGCTTTGAACAAATTCCAAATTTTGAAAACCAAAGAGCCTAATCAAGAAGAAGCTTAAAATTGAAGAATCCCTATAAAAGATGACTAATCATGAGAGAAAGCAAACGAAAGGTACTTTAATGGTTCAAAATCTGTTGGGGATTGGTATCTCTTGGCGCCCACTTTATCATCTTTTTGTGACTTGTGAAATTGATCGGCGGAAGGGTGTGATACCAAGCACTTTGAAGCATTGGGATCAGTACCATTTGCTATAGCTAGCTTCTCTCTCTCTCTCTCGACTACTCGATGGAATATTGAAATCTGTAATTATTTTCTCAAAGCTTTGGCATGGTACTTAGTACTACTAGGTTTACTTATTTGAAAAGATGAAACATAAAACGAATACTTAAAAGGAAAGCATCTTGGCATCATTGTGTTGTGTTGTAGTTGTAAATAAAGCAAATCTATGACTTCCAGCAATTACAAATCTTTACTTTAATGGATCAATACCTCTTTTTCTTGTTTTGGCTAATCAATGAAGACTCTATCTCTGTCTTCTTCTTGACGTTTTCCAGCTTCAAAAGGCTTATTTCTTTTAAAAATTTTGAATCTTATCTTCCACCCCTGTTACCATTACATAAAGCTTCTAATTGAGTTTTAAATGAGTTTGAAATACGCAAACTTAAGTTAGACTAGTTCGCTATTGTAGTGTGTTCGATTTTTGGCACACAGTATGAATCTTTCATCTTGAAAATTAAAATTTAGAGAATCACGTTGTTAAAATAAGTGGAACTACATCTTTTCCCACTTACTAGCATGACATCCTTATTTTTGAGCCCAAGTGATACCTCATTAGTTCTTGGACATGGGCTCACTATTTCATTTGGGTGCCTAATTTACTATTTTAGTTTCTTCAAGTTACCCCCATAACTTTTAGATGACCATCCCAAGAGATAGAATGAAAATTCCTGGGAAAGGAGCCTTTGAGGTTAGCCGAGTGATGAGAAGGTGGATCGATGGGTTAGGATAAGGATAGCTTCAATATTTGATTCCTCCCATGTAACAAAAAAATATATCCTTTAAACATGGGACAAACTCCTTCTGCATATGGTGATATGCAGAAGGAGTTTCTCCAATGGACTTCATAGACTCCTGAAGTGAATGTGATAAGATCACTTGCACCATACTCATCATGTAGATATTCAGCAACGTTAAAGGTGATGAAGCTATGGGCAGCCACTTGTGCCTTTGATAACTGGGGCTCTTGGGCCATGTTTGGTGCATATGATTGAATAGAATAGGATAACTTACAATTTTTAAAGTTACAGTGTGGAATACCGAGGCTTAGGCCATGTTTGATGTATTGGATTGGATTGGATAGCTCACTAGATTCAAAACTATGTTGTACAGTGTGGAATACTGAGGCTTAGGCCATGTTTGATGTATTAGATTGGATTGGATAGCTCACCAGATTCAAGGCTATGTTGTACAGTGTGGAATACTGAGGCTTAGGCCATATTTGATGTATTGGATTGGATTGGATAGCTCACCAGATTCAAAGCTATGTTGCATGGCCTTAGCATTCGTGGGATAACTTCTTTTTTACATGGGAGGACTGGCCTCATTTGATATCTGAATGTGAAACTTCTCACAGCCAATGCTCTATCCAAGTTACAATGAATGGTGTAGCAACTGGTAAGAGACCGAGATCTCCAGTAAAGTT